ATTGTTCACAAAATGATTGTTGATCAAAAGTTCTTTCAACATCTCCAATTGTTAGTCATTGTACTACTACTGAGCTGGAGAGCCACTTTTAAGCACTCTACAGGAATGAAAGATGGTATTAGGTACATAGTAAAGGAGGAAGCTCTTCTCAAGTTTAAAGATGAGCTTATTGATGATTATGGCCGACTCTCTTCTTGTGGAAATGAAAAATATAAGAAGGGTTGCTGCAAATGGAGTGGTTTCATTTGTGATAATTAAACTAATCATATTGTTGAGTTGGATCTTTTTGGGTATGTCTCCAAGAGGTAACATTAGCGTCTCGTTGCTTGAAATACAACATTTGAAATGTCTAGACCTCAGTTCCAATGATTTCAATTATAGCAGAATCTTACAATTCATTGTCTCCTTAGACAGATTACAATGTCTTGATCTTGTCAATTCTAAATTTAGTGTAGAAATTCCTCGTCATCTTGGCAACCTTTCTGAATTGAATTCTCTTCATCTTGGCTCATTTAATGATTGTTCAATAACTAGCACAAATCTTGATTGGCTTTATCGACTTCATTCATTAAGTTGCCTGTCCATGATCTCGATTAACCTCACAATGGCAACCGATTGATTACAAACAATAACTAAGCCTAAATTTTTAATATTCGATTCGTGTCACCTGCTGATGGTACTTCCTCCTCACCTTCCACGTTCAATGCTTCTAATTCTCTTTTTATCCTTGTGCTCTCGGGAAATGAGTTCTCTTATTGGATATTTCCTTTGTAGCATTCGTTTACTTGACCTCAGTTTCAACAAATTACAAGGTAAGATTCCAATATCCTTGGGGAATATGAGTAGTTTAACTATTTTAGATTTATCTGGCAACCAACTGATCAGAGGGGAAGTGCCTCATCCTACATTATCTTCCTCGTTAATAGACTTAAATCTTTCTGATAATATGTTTAATGGCACCGTTCCAACCTACGTATCTCGTTCATTATCATTTTAGGATGAAATCCTCCTTTTCAACTGACAGTTGTATCTTTAGCTGGTCGCAAAGTAGGCCCACATTTTCCCAATGGACTAGAACACAAACAAGATTAGAAGATCTTGATATCTCTATTGTTGAAATTTCGGACACGTTCCCTGATTGGTTTTGGGAGCAAAGTCCAAAATTATCAAGAGTAAATGTATCGCATAACAATTTTCAAAGTGTCTTTCCTGATTTGTAGTCAAAGTTCTCTCCTTTCGATTCCATAGATATGAGCTTTAATCATT